CCCCCAGCCCCTCCATACATTATAAATCAGGCCGAGCCCAGGCGTCTCTGCAGCCTGACGTCCTGTCAGCTGCTTCATGAATTAATTGGGGAGTTGTGGGACTCCTCAGAGGGAACCAGACTCAGATCTGCATCCAGCAAACATTTTGTTTCAGCCTGGATGGAAACACGTTCATCGTGGAGCCAAACTGGTTTGTTAAATCTGGTTTCTCTGAGTCTGTTCACATTAAACAGGAAGAGAATCAGGACAAACACAATGTGGAGTAAATGTGACCATTTCAGGCTCTGGAACAGAACCAACATCTGGACAAAACTCTCCCCATTTAACAGTAAATAATTTGATCTCTTCTAACAAAACTTTAGTTTTAAAGTGCCTGTGACATCAAATTTTTCTAATAAATGTAAATGCATTTTTGGAGAGATAACTTTGATAACAAATTGCAAAACAAATTTCATGCCGTTGAGATAAATAGTTGTTGAGATATTTGCATGTGAAGAAACAGGAAGTGATGTCAAAGGGGAATGTCTGCCTCTGGCCTGACGAGAGGACAGGAACTCTGTCACAAACTGAACTCTATTTAGGCCATGACAGGTCATTTTAACCCAGAAGAGAACTCCTCAGTTCTCTTAATCAGATAATGGACAGAACAATCTCTTCTGTTCGTGATTCATTTGTTGTTTAACTAAGAATGTTTATGCATTTGTTAAATCATGATAATGACTGTCACAAGAAAAGTGGAACCACTTCTACTCTTTTATCGTGCCTAAAAGATTAATTATTGGTTAAAAAAAATCTGAATCTCATTACAATGTTTTCATTGTGTTTTTATGTAAATCACTGCTTTTATTTTACTGTGAACACAGTAATATAATTGTGGATTTTTCCTGAGAAAATCTTTCCTTTATCTGGACTAACAGAACGGTTCAGAACTGATTATAAACTGAAATGTTAATTAATCATCATGAATGTTTTGCAGTGATTTCTCTTAGAGTCTATCAGAAGAAAGCTGAAGAAAGGTTATCATCCTGTTGTTGAACAGCCATAGAATTTTAACCTTGACTGGCGCCTGGCTGGCAAGTCTTTATCTTTCTTCCTTTCTCTGACTCAACTCTACGCCTGAGGGCGGAACCAAAGATCGTCCATTTCTATTACTAACCACGGACAACTTTGAGAGACACACTCTTCTTCCTGATTTCCAGCCTGGGAAGACAGCTGAGTTTCTCTCAGGAGAAGCCAGTTTGGCTTTTAGGTCTTAGCCCATGAGCTAACTAGGGGAGACCTAACAGCTGGGACTCGGCACGCCAGCCAGTCCCACCCCGAGACTTCAAGTCTCTAAGTGTGTTTTTAACTCCCGAGGGGAGATTTTATTTTGAAAGAAGGAACCGGATGTACAGCTTGAATCTTTCTGGCTTGGACTGAAACAGACGAAAAGTTACCTGGAAAACACCTTTTCGCCAAGGAACAGTAAGCGAGCCGATAAAAAAAGTTCCCTGACTGATCGGAGGTGAGACAGTTCCTACCCAGGGGTGACTCAAGAAGTCATCACCAGGTAAAGCTGACGTGTTAAAGGTGACGTGTCATGCGGAAATCTTACGCGCAGAAGGGACGTGCGGATCCGGCTGAACCACATTTTGATAAAGTAAAATTAGCAGAAATACTAACCTTACTTTCTTCCTTTTCTTGTTCTTATTTGCCAAAACTTAAGCTGAAAGTGCCATTAAAATTGTTTGGTTGTTAACATCAGAGCTGACGTTTTACTGTTCTCTATAAGTAATCTGAGTTGATGTGAATTGAAATTCGTACGCGAGTTTTATCTCATTTAACTTTGACACTTTTTATAGGAATACCCACAATCAAGTGTACTTATGATTTGTTCAATTTGTGTAAATAAATGATTGCAAAGTCTTTTATGAATCAACTTGAACTCGTCTGAACGTTCACTTATTGTGTCACTTTTCACTTCGCACAGTCAAGATTTTAAAAGTAATGAGAAATACCTTGGTAAAACTTTCCTCATAACTTTGTGTAAGAGAGATGTGGGAAAAGCTTAATTCGCCTTAAGCCCCCTTTATGTTTACATAAACAGAGCGATGCTTTAATAATTAGAGACAAATCTGATGTTTCTTTAAATTATTTTGAGTCACTATCAGAGTTGAAGAAGAGTTTAAATAAGATTGTTTCAATAAACAAAGAGAGTTTCTTTTCTTAAAGAGTTCCCCTTTGATGTCACTTCCTGTTTCACTTTGCTGAGCCAAGTTCAAGAGAAAATATGCCAGTTTTGAGATAAAATGACATAATCACGTGTATTATGCTAATTTTCTTAAATATAAATATGTTTTCTTTGACTTTTTGTATTTGAAGGATAAGCATGTCACAGACCCTTTAAAGTTTGATGGTTTTGTTTCGGTTTGGTTGGTTGTTACATATGTGAGCTGGAGCTGAGTTACACGTTCAAACTGGACTGAACAGAACCAGAAAGCACTGAGACGTGTTTCTGTTATCAGACTAATAAAAAATGAATTACAGATGTGGAACAGCTGCTGAATTATTCCAGCTCACTGAGGGAGGCAGTTTGTTACATAACTGGAGAAGCTGAGTGCCTCTGCAGGAAGTTTGAACCAAATGTTCAGGTAAAAACAACCTGAAACTGCTTCAAAGTTGGTTTTCAGTATAAACATAAAGAGATTTATGGTTTTTAAAGATTCAAAGAGCAACACATGAGAACAACAGACAGGCTGCTTACTCACCTTTTCTCCTGCAGGATGGGAGGAGTCAGGATTTCCCTCTGATCGCTCAGTTTTCTCCTGCTGATGAAGGAGATCCTGAAGCATCGATGCAGAGAAGAGGAGGAGGAGGCGGAGGAGTGTTTCTTCTCCTGATGCAGTCTCGACAAGCTCTGAATACTTATCAGTTTTATTTTGGGGCTCCTGACTCTGCACAGCAACACAGACAGCTGCTGCTTTAATAAGAAGAAAATATAAATTCACTTTTATTTACTCAGAGCTTTAATTAAGAACATGAGAGGAACATGTGGCAGCTGTGGTCAGAAACAAGGAGAAGCTGAAGAAAAGCTACAGATGTTCAACATGTTTGAAGTAAAAGTGGGTCATTAAAAAACTTACATTCATTATATTTCCTCTGGTTTGGTGAGATCTTCCAGGTGGAACTGGACCTGTTTCCTCAAACATCTGAGGGGTAAAAGGAAAAAGATGGATGGATGGATGGATGGATGGATGGATGGATGGATGGATGGATGGATGGATGGATGGATGGATGGATGATGGATGGATGGATGGATGGATGGATGAATGGATGGATGGATGGATGGATGGATGGATGGATGGATGGAAGAAAGACTGATGGATGGATGGATGAATGGATGGATGGATGGATGGATGGATGGATGGATGGATGGATGGATAGAGTAAAATAACTTTGATGTCCAGTAAGCCACAGATAAATAGCAAATAATTCAATAAACACTCACCAGAATCAAAATGTCTAAAGGTCTGTATGAGTTGGTGACAGAAACAAGTGAAAATGTTGCACCGTATTAAGGAAAAAGTCAAATTTTCTATAATTTTCATAATTAAATACAAAATTGTATATCTATTCATACCCTGCCATACACATTATTTCTGATTTTATATCTTCAGTTATTAATTTGCAAGAAAAGGTTTTCCATAACTAAAATCTTAACTTCACACACAAAAAACCGTTGACTAAAACTGTTAAACTTAGGTTTGAAAAGTTAAAAAGAACATCCGGACATTCTTTAAACTGTGGTGATTTTTTTTTTTTTTTACAAAAAACAACTTGTAATAGAAACAGAAAATAAAAATAAACACAGAAAGTTAAAATTATCGCCCGCCTTTCAGCGGAGGGAGATTACCTGCCACCAACAGGTTACGTTTCTCACCGCGGTCTTTAAAAGCTCGTTATGGCGATTTTACAGGTTAAAACCAGCAGTTATCTAAGCCGAACATTAAGTTGTCAACTGAAAAACATTAAAACATCTGTAATGTGTCGTTTAGTCTAAGTGTACGGGCTTTGAAAACAAAATTTGACAGTTTTTCAATGGAGTTCCGCGTCATCAAACGTCAGAAAACAAAAACAACCGGAAGTAGTAGTAGTAGCTTCAGCTACGCAGGTTTTGTGGGCTGGGGTGAGTTACGCTGTTTCACGCTATTCTCTAACTGACATACGCACAGCAGTGACGTCACGCCCCACAGTCGTCTGCGGTCCGTACGTCAACAGCGTCTGAGCTCGCGCATCTGTCAGAGGACATTTAAATGGCTGCACCGCAGAGCAGCGGAGCCCAGTGAAAACGAACGAACGGCTCCTCCTCTCTGACCCGGAGTCACAGCTTATTCACTCCTGTTGTTCTCAAAAGCCAAGAAATTTATCTGGAATTAAAACAGAAACAATGAGCGACGAGGAGGACGTCTTGCAGAAGGTCCGGACCAGGTTCGAGGACCTGTGCCGAGCCCTGAACATGGACGAGGAGGCGAGTACCGAGGCGTGGAAGAGCTACGAGAACATCAGCAAGAACTTCACCCTGGAGGTAAGCCCACACACACCGGGGGTACACCGGGTCTCCGAGGGTCTCTGTCAGCGGGGAGTGCTCACTCCTCAGCCCGGTCCTCGGTGTTACTCCTCCGGCCAGTGGGTCTCTCTCTGTCCGGGGGTCTCCGGCAGGCACCGACTGCTCTGAAACACGAACCTCACCTGGACCTGCTCACCAGAAAAAAGTTCCTGCTCCTGTCCCAGCTCACCCACCTGAACCAACCAAACCCCAGACCAGGTGTGCACCCAGAACAAGCAGGACTGGGGGAACCAGGAGAGCCTAGAACCAGTCTGGACCCAGTTTCAGATCAGAGACTCAGAGGTTCTGAACAGTTCTACAGAATAAACCCTTCAGAACCGAAAACCATCAGATCTGGATTAGAAGAGATTTAAGCCCTACTTTAACATTTAGTTCCAGATTAAGAACCGGTCCATTTAGACTTATGAGCAGTGGCGTCTGCAGAATTTTTTTCGGGGGGGGGGACACTGAAAAGCCAGGGGTGGCACACCACAAAAATAATTAATAACAGAAATTATATGATGCTGTTGTAAAACTATGGCAATATAAGAGTTAAATGTCCTGATGCATCTCAGTAATCCAGGTAAAAAAATCAAAAATGAAAAAATAGTATAGGTCCTCTGGACGGGTTCTTCTCTAATGAAACGTTTCGTCTCTCCTCCAAGAGACTTCTTCAGTCTGAGAGTTTCAGGCAAAATAGCGATTCTGGTCCACGATCCGGCGTCTCAGGAGGGGGAAGCAGTGCAGCACCAACACTGTTTATGGTGGGGATGGTGTACTGCTGACCTCAGCTCGTGACGTTGTGTGCCGGTGGGCGGAATACTTTGAAGACCTCCTCAATCCCACCAACATGCCTTCTGTTGAGGAAGCTGAGCCTGGGGACTTTGGGTTGGGCTCTCCAATCTCTGGGGACGAGGTCACTGAGGTGGTCAAAAAGCTCCTCGGTGGCAGGGCCCCGGGGGTGGATGAGATCCGCCCGGAGTTCCTCAAGGCTCTGGATGTTGTAGGGTTGTGTTGGCTTACGCGACTCTGCAATATCGCATGGACATCGGGGGCAGTACCCCTGGATTGGCAGACTGGGGTGGTGGTCCCCCTGTTTAAAAAGGGGGACCGGAGGGTGTGCTCCAATTACAGGGGGGTCACACTCTTAAGCCTCCCTGGTAAGGTCTATTCAGGGGTCCTGGAGAGGAGGGTCCATCGGATAGTCGAACCTCGGATTCAGGAAGAGCAGTGTGGTTTTCGTCCTGGTCGTGGAACACTGGACCAGCTCTACACCCTCAGCAGGGTCCTGGAGGGTGCATGGGAGTTCGCCCAACCTGTCTACATGTGTTTTGTGGACTTGGAGAAGGCGTTCGACCGTGTCCCAAGGGGGGCCTTGTGGGGGGTTCTCCGGGAATATGGGGTACTGGGCCACTTGATACGGGCTGTCAGGTCCTTGTACGACCGGTGTCAGAGTCTGGTTCGCATTGCCGGCAGTAAGTCGGGCTCGTTTCCGGTGAGAGTTGGACTCCGCCAAGGCTGCCCTTTGTCACCGATTCTGTTCATTACTTTCATGGACAGAATTTCTAGGCGCAGCCGAGGTGTTGAGGGGATCCGTTTTGGTGGCCTTAGGATCGCATCTCTGCTTTTTGCGGATGATGTGGTCCTGTTGGCTTCATCGGAGCGAGATCTGCAGCTCTCGCTGGAGCGGTTCGTGGCCGAGTGCGAAGCGGCCGGGATGAGGCTCAGTGCCTCCAAATCCGAGGCCATGGTCTTGAGCCGGAAAAGGGCAGAGTGCCTTCTCCGGGTCAGGGGGGTCGCCCTGTCTCAAGTGGAGGAGTTTAAGTATCTGGGGATCTTGTTCACGAATGGGGGAAGAACGGAGCGGGAGGTCGACAGGCGGATTGGCGCAGCGTCTGCTGTAAAGCGGGCGCTGTACCGGTCCGTCGTGGTGAAGAGAGAGCTGAGTCAGAAAGCGAAGCTCTCGATTTACCGGTCGATCTACGTTCCTACCCTCATCTATGGTCATGAGCTTTGGGTCATGACCGAAAGAACGAGGTCCTGGATACAAGTGGCCGAAATGGGTTTCCTCCGCAGGGTGGCTGGGCTCTCCCTTAGAGATAGGGTGAGAAGCTCGGTCATCCRGGAGGGACTCAGAGTAGAGCCGCTGCTCCTCCACGTCCAGAGGAGCCAGTTGAGGTGGCTCGGGCATCTGGTAAGGATGCCTCCTGGACTTCTCCCTGGTGAGGTGTTCTGGGCACGTCCCACCGGGAGGAGGCCCCGAGGAAGACCCAGGACACGCTGGAGGGACTATGTCTCTCGGCTGGCCTGGGAACGCCTTGGGGTTCCCCCGGAGGAGCTGGAAGAAGTGGCTGGGGAGAGGGAGGTCTGGGCCTCCCTTCTGAAGCTGCTGCCCCCGCGACCCGACCCCGGATAGGTGGAAGAAAATGGATGGATGGATGGATGGATATTGGTCCTAAATATCTAGGGGCATTTAAAATGGAAAAACCTGGGTACTCGGTGATAAAATTAGGGGAGGCCAATGTGGGGGGCCACAAATGTTTAGGGGGGCCATGCCCCCCCCCCCCCCTGCTGGCGCCCCTGCTTTTAAGTTATAAGGTCTGTTGGACGTGGCAAGCCATATAAGCAGTTGAAGGAACATCCACTGAGTGGTGCATGAGATATTTTGCTAACAGAACTGATCCAGTCCTCTCTCTGGGTGCAGGGCAGTGAGCTGCACTGGTTGGCCTGCGCTCTCTATGTGGCCTGCAGGTCCTCGGTGCCCACGGTGGGGAGAGGGACCGCCGAGGGGAACTACGTGTCCCTGACCAGGATCCTGCGCTGCTCGGAGATCAGGTTAGTTTCTGAGTCCGGTCCAGGCGGTCCCCTGTCCTCCTGCTGACCTGGTTAAACACGAGCTCTGTGTCTCCAGCCTGATCGAGTTCTTCAACAAGCTGAAGAAGTGGCAGGACATGGCCGCCCTGCCGCACGACTTCCGTCAGAGCACCGACAAGCTGGAGAGGAACTTCACCGTGTCGGCCGTCATCTTCAGGAAGTACGTCCCCATCTTCAGGTCCATCTTCAAGGCCCCGAGCGACGAGCCGCCGCGGGTCCACCGCAGCCGCAAGCAGAGGTCAGACCCTGCGACCCCATGCTCTCTCAACAAGCTTTGACACACATATCTGATCATTTCTTTGAGACAAACACAAACACCTGTCAACTTTTGTCCAAACATCTTGTGGTTGTGTTTCCAGACGCCATCCGTGCACCGTGAGCGAAGTCTTCAACTTCTGCTGGGTGCTCTACGTCCACACCAAAGGTGATCCACATTTAAAGAGACTGCTGCAGCTGCTTTGTTCTAGCTTCAAGAGACACACAAGTCCGTTAGCTCTGCGGCTGTTAGCTCTGCGGCTGTTAGCTCTGTAGCTATTAGCTGTGTGGCTGTTAGCTGTGTGGCTGTTAGCTCTGTGGCTGTTAGCTCTGTGGCTGTTAGCTCTGTGGCTGTTAGCTGTGTGGCTGTTAGCTCTGTGGCTGTTAGCTGTGTAGCTGTTAGCTCTGTAGCTGTTAGCTTTGTAGCAGGTAGCTCTGTAGCTGTTAGCTCTGCAGCCATTAGCTCTGTAGCTGTTAGCTCTGTAGCTGTTAGCTCTGTAGCTGTCAGCTTTGCAGCCGTTAGCTCTGTAGCTGTTGGTTCTGTAGCTATTAGCTCTGTAGCTGTTAGCTGTGTAGCTGGTAGCTCTACTTGTTAGCTCTGTAGCTGTTAGCTCTGTAGCTGTTGGTTCTGTAGCTGTTA